TTTAAAGAGTCCTCTCCTGCTGATGTTCAGGTGTATATCAGTATGTAGTGTCTCTACTTTAAAGAGTCCTCTCCTGCTGATGTTCAGGTGTATATCAGTATGTAGTGTCTCTACTTTAAAGAGTCCTCTCCTGCTGATGTTCAGGTGTATATTCAGTATGTAGTGTCTCTACTTTAAAGAGTCCTCTCCTGCTGATGTCAGGTGTATATCAGTATGTAGTGTCTCTACTTTAAAGAGTCCTCTCCTGCTGATGTTCAGGTGTATATCAGTATGTAGTGTCTCTACTTTAAAGAGTCCTCTCCTGCTGATGTTCAGGTGTATATCAGTATATAGTGTCTCTACTTTAAAGAGTCCTCTCCTGCTGATGTTCAGGTGTATATCAGTATGTAGTGTCTCTACTTTAAAGAGTCCTCTCCTGCTGATGTTCAGGTGTATATCAGTATGTAGTGTCTCTACTTTAAAGAGTCCTCTCCTGCTGATGTTCAGGTGTATATCAGTATGTAGTGTCTCTACTTTAAAGAGTCCTCTCCTGCTGATGTTCAGGTGTATATCAGTATGTAGCGTCTCTACTTTAAAGAGTCCTCTCTTGCTGATGTTCAGGTGTCTTCACAGTCAGCAGTTGAACATAAAAAGAGAGTTTCTGACAGTAGTGTTTGATGTGGTTTATTCTTTAACAGTCGAGGACAAATACTTTCTTTCAAACAGCTCGTAATCCAGGGAGGATTCGTTGTGTCACACAGAGCTTTAAATGAGTTGATCTCTGCAGTAACTGCTTCGCTCAGTATGCTGTGTTTGTAAAACATAGTAAATCACAGACATGTCAGACCGGTTTGAACTACACCCAGCATGGCTGTTTGACAGACTCCAGCGCCTCCTCCTGAGTTACAGCAGAAAGCTCATTCGAGACAAAGTATGTTGACTGTATGCAACTGTTTTGATAATCTTTCATTTGAGAGTCCTTTCTGAAGTCTGTGGGAGAGGCTAATGATAGGATTTGATGTGTTACTTTTGTAGTTTCACACAGTGCACTTCAATTGCAATCAGCATTAGGACTGGCAGTATAGGAAGAAAAATACTAGCATAGTATTTGGCAATTTATTACAAACCAATGTAGCCTTAAAGCATTGTGTAGAACAATAAAGCTGCACATAATAAGCTTGTTTTTGGGAACACTGACCATGGATTGCAAACATTAGTTAGTAGAAGCCGTTAAGACACACTGACAAGTAAATGAAGTGTAACAGGAAGTAGCAGGGGGTTTGTGTAAAGCTCCAGCATGCTCCTCTAACTGGAGGTACTTAATACACAGCACTTAAAATGTGTCAGTTAACCATCCAGACGCATCAATATTTAACGTTAATGTGCTGAAGGCTTACCACTTCTTTCATTACATCTTTTTCGCTCTCCCTCCCTGCAGACAACTCTTCAGGTTTTCTTTTCACATCCTTTTCTGACTGAGACATCAGACACAAAGCAGCCTCACTTATTCTGACTCACTTCCACCGCAGTCTGGCATGTTATTAGGCCAGAAACTGATGTGACTCTGCTCTGACATCCTACTATTTCGGCTTGTTTACATCCTGCTATGTGTTCGCAATTCCCCAGTAGACGGGTTGAGTTTAGGTTCAATTGAAAAATGCTAGCCTTGCTCATATCCACAGATTGCACGGGGTAAGAAGAGTTCACATTCACAATACTCACAGCAAACCGAGAAGCAATGCTTTCTGTTAGTGCTTTTTTGGGGGCACTGGCACTACCTGTATATCGGCCTCGAAGTGCATCGTGCACAGCCAAAACATTGTGTTTTGCATCAGGACAAGCATAATGGAAAATAGATTAGTCAGGCTAGTGAAGGAGTAATAAACAGCTTTTGAATTGTAGCTGATTATAATGTAAATACCGACTGTTTTCAAGCAGTTCAAGTGCAGAAAGTCCGCATTTGACTTATTTCACTGAGCTGCTCAACCATGGCAAATCAACCATGGCAATACAAACTCAAAATATCAACGATCCTGCAGGTTCATTAGCTTCAAATGACACATCGTAAGTCCTGAAGACGTGGATATTCTTCAGTTAACGACGGAAGATATGTGGACCTTTTTCTGTCTTGATGTCAATTCGGAGCTTGTTCCACCTTATTATCATCTGGCCGGACAACAGCTGGCAATGAGCGATGTTGGCTGAAGCTGCCCCATGTACTGTTGCTTGTGACAGTTGATTAATTGAGACTGTCCACGACGCTATAAACAACTAAACTAAACCTTTTGGAAGCCAGCATAGCGATTGGTCGATGCAGAGCGAGGTGCACATCATGTACATGTTGGTGAAAGCTCAGAAACATGAGTCAAGTCAGGAGAGTCAGTTTACTCACTGGTCTCGTAAGACTTTGACCTGGAGCAGTTTCGTCCAAAGTCAGCGGCTTTGTAGGAAGAGTCCGAGGAAAGAAAAATAAAAAAGTTTTCGTGGTCTTAATACTTTCCAGCCTGTGCTTTAAGCCTGTTATCTGTGAGCTCTGCCACTGGCTTGTTTTCGACAGTCACCACCACAGTTAGCTGGAGCTGTGCTCAAAGCTTTTTGTACTGGTTAAGGCTGCAGCAGGTTAAACGGAGAAACAGCACACCACCTTTTGATTTATCCGCCTCAATAAAGCAGGCAGCTAGCATTTATGTTGGCCAACCACCTTCTAGCTGGTCATAACCTTTGAGTTATGAATGTGCTGGCAAAGCACTTTCACTGGTATGCAAGTTCAACATACCAAGGATACATTTGTTATCTCGCTTAGCAGACCCTCAATAAACAAAATTGGGTTATGCAATCACACTTCAGTGTATACACAACTAGTTAAAGCAACGCAGGGTTACCCTTCTAGCGCGCTATATTTACAGATGAACTAAGACGCATGCAAAGAAATAAACAAATCAAGGATAAAAGCAACACAATTGCTGTTGAAAACACAGGTAGAACAGATACAAACTACAATAAAGACACTCATAATATCACAAATAGATTCCCTCGGGATGCACGCACTGAGCTGTGATTGGTCAATAGGAACAAAGTCTTCTCTCTAGGAGGTTAGATGTGCAGCAAGTGAGCATCAAACCACAGCTGACACCAGGAAAACTAGGAATACAAGTAACCTTAGTAACGCCAAATCCTGTGGCATTCAATGTGCACACAGCTGAGAGACTAAGTTCAACCCCACCCGGTCAACTTGCATTATAGGTCGTAAAGTACCACAATCCTGCAGTATAGAATAACACCTGCTAAACGTTTCAGAGTAACGCTCATTGTTTGATGATTGTGTTAAATGTGTTGATGGGAAATACTGAATGTTTAAAGCCAAGGAAAGGACTCATTCACTTTGACAAAGAACTTTAATGTAGTTTGAGCTTGTGTGGCTGTTGACAGACTTTCCAAGCTGTACCTTAAAAAAAGCACAATTTGTCGTGATTGAAATATTAATTGTGGATGATTTTCAAATGTTTATACATTTAAGTTGGTTGCATTTAAATATATCTCACATTAAACACATCATAAATAAGAAACATCAACAATCATTTTATCCTTTTGACCATTTTACTAAACATTTTACTAAGCAATTAGAAATAATCTAATTGCGATTTTTCTGACAGATATTGTGATTTGTTTTTAAGCGACCCAACGGAAGTTTATTGTAAAATGCGGCCATATCTCCGGCTAGGAAGGTCGCATCAACGTGCTCCCGTCTCTAGCACCCCCGCAGCCCGAGCTACGAGGGAAAGAACTACACTTACATGAAACTTCCGTTGGGTTGCTTTAAAGTCAAGCTTCAGTTTAAGATGCACCCTGTAATAGAAACATGTGATGGAGCATTACTAACCTGACTCAGACGGTTTCAACAAAGCATCTAAAGCTCCATTGGAAGCCATTTGGAAAGGGCAGGCGCTTTCAGAAGCACTTGGCAAGTGATTGGATCAATCTGTCTATCACCTTCTATCATGGGCCACTTCTGATTGGTTAACAATGGCTGGTACATGTGGAGCACAGCACTTCTGATTGGTTTGGATGACTGACGCACAAGAAGAACAAAACAAAAAAAGTACTTTAAAAAACAAAAAACCGCAGGCTTTGCGATTTGATAATTGCATCATTTCAAATTTCGATTTAAAACCGATTAATCGTTCAGCCCTAAATGGGGGGATATGTTCCTTCAATACTAATTTACAAAGTGTCGTTGAAGGAGGCGAGGGATGATTGATGTCTCCAATCATTGCGTTGCCCCCTTCTTTGCTCTGTTATCTGACTTTTTACAAGAACACATCATTAAGTAGGGTTAAGGGGGGGGGGGGCTGCTGATCAAGCCATTGATACATGTTATCTCTAAATGCTTCTCAAAGGATACCGACAGTGTGCAATCAAAGTGTGGACAGACTCCTCTTGAGACATTTCAGTGTTACTGACCTTTTCAATCATCTTCCCCTTAAAGTCGCCTTTTCCCCTCCCTCCTTTGACCTTTGCATGTCCACTTGAGCACTGGAAGGAGCCGAGATTATTACCACTTTCAGAAAGTAAAAGGACGCGGGGGGCTTCCCTTCAGGTGGATTACCACGTTGACCTTGGGATCCTCTTCCCACCACCTTTTAATTCTTGCAACATTGACGCAATTCGCTGGCTTTTAAGAAGCATAATTGACGAAGTGGTTGACGCTGAAAGGCTAGAGCTCTTCTGAATGTGGAGACCGAATGTTTGGCTAAGAAGAAGAAGAACTCTGGCTGGTTAAAAAACGAAAGAACGTCCAGTTGGCCTGTTCAAGTAAAAAACGACTTGTGTTGAAATGAACCCTTTTAAACTCATCTGTGCAGAGTTCACAGATACCAGCTAAGGAACACTGACCCAGAACCAAAACAGGTCTACTAGTATATTTAATGCTCCTGACGTAGGCGTGATTATAGCCTGCTCTCCGTAGTAAAAGGTTGTGATGTAACCTGAGACAGTGTTAATCCTTTAAGCCGAGTTAAATGAAACAAGCAAACAGTTCAACGTGGAGGGATTATACAGTTGGAGAAAAACACCGCAGCTCTGACGTCACACCAAAAAAAGGACGCACCTTTTTTTACGATTTTAACAATGCCTCCCTCCAGTTTCATTATCATGAATGCGACAAAAACACCAACCTTGTGCTGCGGTTAAATCCCAAACTTTGACTTTATTTAAAGGTCAGCTGAAAATAGCAATGTGTTTGTCTGTCTCTTCAGGAAATGATCCAGGATTGTTTGTAAAGCGGTTCAGCTCAAAGCCTTCTTGGCTGCCTTTGCCCTCCATCTGGAAAGCGTTTCAACTGTGTGTAAAACATTTGAAAGTTGTTTACCATGTAACTAATTTCCTTATTTTTCTGTGTCTCTCTTCTCGGCTCCTTTTGGATCTTCTTCGGATGTCTTCAATAGGTGAGTCATCTGATTTCTCTGTTTTTAGCATAGCAGTTAACGAGACCTTTGGGGACGACTATGTGTTTGAAACAAGGGCACAACATCCAAGGTGACTGGTGGAAATAATAGAAAGTCATTAGTGAAAGGGCAAATTGGGCTTTAGTAACAGCCGTATAACTGTGATGGCTCTTAAACATGGTGGTTGTGTTCGGCCTGTCAGCTGTCTGTCGTCCAGCTCCTCCAACACCAGATGCCTTTGTGAAAGTTTCTCCAGAACTTTCCATTAAAGGTCGTCTTTATATGATCCAGTCTGAACTTTCCTCTAATGCCAACATCATTAGGCCACATTTTGTATGAAGAGAAGATTTTCATGACCCAAGGGCTTTCAATGCCCAGGAAATACATTTTCTCAGAGCTACTCACCATGAGCCTTCTACACGCCTGCAATTCCTTCTTTGTATTTCTCATTAGAGATGTCTGTCTGTGCTCTTAAAATGGGGATTTCATTTGGGAACCAATTTGAAAAAGGAGATATAAGAGTTTCTAGGCCCATGAGCGCATTAAACAGATCTAAAAACAATCACAAATATATGTTAAATAAACTATTCTGATAATTATGTAATGCAGGGTTCTTACGGTCATTAAAAAAGTCATGGAAATTCAAAATGAAAATTCCAGGCTCTGGAAAAGTTTTGGAAAACAATATTTTCCCAAAGTTTTGGAAAAGTCATGGAAATGTAACTAAAGTTGCATCAAATATAATTTATATTTTATCTAATCACCAAAATAGTAATACTATAATGATAATACATACTGTATCGTATAGTAATGAAACGTAAAATGGCATTTAACTGTCGAGGTGTTTTGCTGGTGAGAGATTTGAGTTGCTTTCGCGTGTAGAAGCTAGTAAGCCTATTGGATTTGTTTTAGATAGGACCAACATGTTTCAGATGCAGACCTTATTTTCCTGTTCCATGTTAAAATAAACCATTTCCAGTGGTACCGCTGAGAAAGAGTCATGTTTTTGGTCATGGAAAGTTAGCTAAAGGTCCTGGAGAAGTCATTGACAATCATTGGTGAAAAAGTGTATGAACCCTGGTAATGATTTAAAACATTTGTGAAGTCCAAAATACTAATAGTCAATGGTTGCAGTTCTTAAAATCTTTATATTAACTGTTTTTTCTTATTCTTCTCTTGTAAAGTTGTTTGGTTTTTGGACATTTTACCAAAAACAAGCATTTTAAAGAGATCTCTTAAAACTTTGGGAAATTTGGCATCAAGTATGATGGATGTATACCAATGGATGTATACCAAGGATGACTTCAAATGAACAGTATTGATGAAGTAGATGAGGTTTGCAGTGGCTTCATAACTTAAGACTTTGACTGTTGCTTATTTATATTAGAATATTTAGACCCTTACCCTAATCTATGTGACGGGGAAACACTACATGGAAACTCTGTGAAACTACCAGTGTTTGCTTCGAAATGTTAATACTTGCAAATAGTTTTGAAGAAAAGGTAAATCATCTCAGATTGTTCAGTTTTTCTAAGGCTCTGACTGCAATGACTGTCTGGTGATAATGTAGCAGATAATAAAGGGTAGTTACAGGACACACACACACACACACACACACACACACACACACACACACACACACACACACACACACACACACACACACACACACACACACACACACACACACACACACACACACACACACACAACCCCTTCAAACAGTTGCAGCCTCACCTTTCAAAGACCTCATACATTTTACAAGCTTCCCCCAGTTTTTGTTTTCATCTTAAATCCCAATCTGGATGTGATTAAGCCGCTCAGCGAGAGCTCCTGGCTGCCGGCCAAGCCCCTCGCCGCACGGGACCCTCCTTAAACGCTCCCGTCTGCTGCCGGCCGCCACTGTGCGTCTTTTCCAAAAGAGAGGGGCCCCCGACAGCCGCCTAAAGCTAATGTCCCGGGGTCTAGGGGGTCTTCTCCACAGGGAGGATCTAATGTCAACCTCCCGCTCCACGAGGCGACCCATGATGGAGCCCTCTACGCTTTCTGCTCGGGATTTATCACGGTCTACTCGCAGCTTGGATTGCACAGAGCCCTCAAAGGACCACATGAAGGCTATTTTAAACGGAGCTTCCTGTCAGGAGCAACCCTCCTCGAACGTAGTATAGTAATATGAGAAATGAGCATTTCAAAGGGACCATAGTGGTGTTTTTTTAACACATTTTTGGCTATTTTTAAAGGGTCAGTTCAGCAGAATTACAAAACTCTCCATTACAGTTTTGATGTGGCTGCCTGTGAGATGTTTACCTCCGTCCCGATGCAGTTGAGGTTATTGTAATCTCATTTGTACATCTGAAAGCACTAATGCAATATCCTGTGGCCTTCAGTGGTGTGGTAGAGACACTGGCAAGGCAAATGGTAAACATATTAGTTTAATATACCGTAGGTGGTGCTAATTAGACGAGCTGGAGGCTTTCCTGAAACTGATATCATGAGCTCTAATAGCCTGACAGACAAATACAAATAAATGTACAGCAAGTTGTCTACAACGCTTACGTATAAGCATATTTAACCACTTTCTTGTTCTGTGCACTTTAGAATAAAAGTTAATTGTGTTAATTGATTGCTATCTTTGAATCAAGACGGCAACACATAGGAAACATATTAGGGAGATGAATCTGGAGCTCTAATGTTGCGTATGTGAGACCAGGAGAATATTTATTTTCTACCAAGCATTTCATTTCTGCTTTATCTGAAGCAACATACAATACATCATGTAACCATGGAGATATAAAGTAGCTTTGAATTAGCCAAACTAATGTTAGTGATACTGCATTTGCTTGAAATATGCCAATCTTTCTGTGTAAAGAATAGGTTTGAAGTGTGTTGTCTAAGGTGCAGTTGAAAAAGGACGGTTTATTTAGTCTGCGATGAGATGATGTGATACGAGATGCTGCTGACATTTGGAGAAGAGCAGAAATCTTTCAGATCTCTCAAAACCAGGACAAAATAAACTCGAAACTATGCGTCAAAATACTTTCTAGCACCAAACAGGCAGCTCTGGGCAAAGAATTGAACCTGCACAGATGATCAAATATAGAAACATATGATAGGGCGTCTTTTTGAATCTGCACTTGAAATGTTAATTATAATCCCGCAGTGACTCGATCTCTCATCTGTCTTTAAATGTGAAACACATTTGTTTCTTTTGGTTTGAGATGTGTCTAAAGAAGAGTCGAGCTCCCACCGTGACCTCCATCGTGGTCCATCGTGATTGTGTTTTCTAATTGATTGAATTTGAGCACCATATTTCTTTATACAATAATCCTCGGCTGTTGGGAAAACACTGAATGCACTCTTCCAACATGAGTAACATGATAACAAAGTCATCCCAGCTGTAGCTGTGAACATGACAGGATGTGTGATTACCTAGAAGAGCATCAGGACTGTTTGAGGCATGTGATAGCTATGTGATTAACATGATGATTCAGCCTCTATGGAGAGAGACATCAAGCATGCTCATTTCTGACGTGGAGCTAATCTGAAGTAAACATTGAATACTGCTTTCTATTCCTCCATCTTGTGACTGTGTAACTCCCTCTCTTGGATATCAGCATGTGAAGGACACTGTTCAGGAACTAGTTGATGCTCTGTATGTGATGACTGCTTCCATTCTGGAGAGGATCACAGATACATGGATCCTGAGACTGAAGCTCAAGCCGGTGAACAGTGATAATTAACATTTTGAAGTATTCAGAAAAAGTCAGAGTTTTTGAGATGTTGAGAAAAAGTCAGTATTTTGAGAAAAACTCCGAATTTTTACATATTGAGAAAAAAGTCAGAATTTAGAAAAAAAAGTCAGAATTATGAGATTCTGAGAAAAAGTCAGAATTTTGATATTTTGAGAAAAAACTCAGTATTGTGTTCATGACAGCAGGATACATGATTATCTAGAAGAACCGCCATTCCTCCATCTTGTGACTGTGTAACTCCCTCTCTTGGATATCAGCATGTGAAGGACACTGTTCAGGAACTACCGTGAAAACAGAAAAAAGAGAATGTCGAAAAGCTGAACGCAGGTGGCGAAAAACAAATCTCCAGGTTCACTTTGAGATCTATAAAGAGAGACTTGGCCTTTATAATTTGGAATTGAAAAACGCACGACAATCGTTCTTCTCTGACATCATTACCAAAAACAAAAACAACGCACGTGCCTTGTTTGCTACCGTCGACAGACTAACTAACCCCCCAGTGTCAGTAGCCTCTGAATTTCTATCCACCAGGGCTTGCAATGATTTTGCCTTTTTCACTGACAACATTCAGAAAATCAGACAAGCAGTCAGTGCCTCTGCATCAGGAACAGCAAATGTGTTGTCCCTATCTCCACTTAACATCAATTCAAACACCATGACACAATTCCATCAGATTAATGATAAAAACCTAGAGGACATTATTCAACTTCTGAAATCCTCCTCTTGCTGCCTTGATATTATTCCAACAGGATTTTTCAAAGATGTTTTGCCTTGCATGGCCTCAGATCTACTTCATATAGTAAACAAGTCTCTTCACTCAGGTGTTTTTCCACAGGCCCTGAAAACTGCAGTCATTAAACCGCTCTTAAAAAAGAATAATCTAGATGCTTCAGTAATGAACAATTACAGGCCCATATCAAACCTCCCATTTCTAGGTAAAATCATTGAAAAAGTTGTTTTTCAACAGTTGAGTAATTTCTTGCATTTAAATAACTGTTTTGATGTGTTCCAGTCAGGCTT